CCTATAGCAGCATAACTATAGAGATAGCACAGGATAACCTGAGCCACTCTAACTATAAGCTTTATCAAAAAGGAAAGTTTTAAGCCTACCCTTAAAAGTAGACAGGGTGTCTACCTCACGGACTAAAACTGGTAGTTGGTTCCACAGGAGAGGAGCCTGAATTCTAGGAACCACTATTAAACCTGCTGGTTGAGAGCGAAGTGCTCTGTTAGGGACATAAGGAACAATCATATCTCTGATATAAGATGGAGCTTGGCCAACACATCGAAGGAACAAGAATTGATCAGCATTTCTTTATCACTGCTGTTTTTATGTAAGCAGATCAACTGTACAGCTAAATGTCACGACACATGGGGAAGAATTAGAATTAGTAGAAGGACGAAAAATGCTTTCAATTCTTTACTGGGTCTGGATTGTATTTTAATTAGTTGCAAGCATGGCTCCCCCCTTGGTATTATACTTAAGAAAAAACTTATAACTCCATGTATGTTCATATGTACATAATATTAGTGGCTTTTTAGCTTTTTTTTATTATTATCTAAAGGCTGGTTTCAGTGAGGGGTATGGAGAGTAACCAGAGGTTGTCATTCCATTTATTGTCACCAGTTCTTTGGTATCTTGCAGACATCAAGATCATGTCAGTGTGTCCGTCTCGTCTTTATATCTTTCTTTTTTAAATTCTTTTAGTTAAATGTCCAACCTACGTAGTCTGTTATCATTCCAGGTCAGATTTGCAGTACTGTGGGCGGTTATGTACCCGTTTCCTAACACTTTTAAGATCTTTTTCCATGTTATGATCGAGGTTGACTCCTGGTCTGACCTTATCCTAAAACGGGTGAACTTACCGACCTCCCACTGTTGCAGAGGCAATCAGTAGAGTTAATGAGCTTTGAGTCACAGGGGGTAAGCAGCACTTTAGAAAAACCAGACTCCAGAGTGTCCCACTTTTAATAATTCTCTGTAGAAAACTGATCTGGGTATGACCTCTCGCTCTGGAGTCGTCCTGCTTTGGTAAAACAGTTCAGGACAAAGTACAGACATGGAGAAAACACACAAGCCATCCCACAATCCCATGTTTCATCCATCTTCTCAATGCCCCCTTGCTCCATATAGAAAAGAGGAGAGCCATGTCACTTTGTGGAAAGCTCCATTCAGCCATCTGCTGCTACATTAATAAAGCAGGTGAGAGAAGGAGCACAGAAAGGAGGCGCTTTAGTCTCCTTCAGCTTCCAATGTCACTGTAACCTACAGCCTGGCCTGTGCTAAAACTACTGTAAGCCATTCTTTACATCCGATTGCTTCCATTAAACTGTCCTTGATAGCGGAGAAATTTCAGTCATGATAACCATTTACAGTAGAGCCAAATGGCGTGTAATACTCCTGGGAAGTTGGAGCTGCAGAAGTACAGTTGGTGTCATCGCGTGGCAAACATTTTCAATCCAAACCTTGTGTCTTCTTCTGATATTACGCTACCTATACAGCAATGATGCCACATTATTTGTGCGGCAGAAGAATTAGAAATACAGATAAATCAGTTTTACTGTTTTTTTCCACTTAAAAAAACCCTAAGTGGTTTTGCTGACCTTGGCAGCAACTGCTGCCATCAAATGTTGGAAATAAGCTTTTAATATCACCAGTGGAGGATTTTATAAACTTTTCTTTAATTTAATTTAGCCTGCTTCATGATTTCAGACTGGTTCTAATGGTTTCTCAGTCAGTGTGGCAATTATTCTTTCAAATAAAGCCCTCTTGGTTTCTTTCAATTAATGACATTTTTAGGAAAAGAGCTTCTTGATTTCACTCAGATTATCTTAGGATTGGTTTAATGACCTGAAAAATTTCTGAGAAAAACAGCAACATTTAAAGAAATCAGAAAGATAAAGAGAAATGGGACAAATAAAAAATAAACGACTTGCTTATGAAATGCTTTAACATCTTTGTTAAAGCATTTTTTAATAATAATGTGACGGAAACAAGCTGATTTAACCATTTTATTGAAACTCCTATTTTTAAAGTAAATTCCCAAAATGAAAGCTGAGGTCGCAATAATACGAGGAAAATTTCCCACTTGGAAACAATCATGTCTCCTTTCACCTCATCAGCAAAACACCATTTGCTTCTTCCATCATTTATATTTAGACCTCCATAATATGCCTCTTTACATATTCATATAAAAAAAAACAATATACATGAAAATAAATAACTTAATCTCAAGTTAAACATGCAGAGAAAGTAACAAATTTAAGAGATTTGCAGCTATGCACAACAGGACAGGAAATGAGCTGTCTGTCCTAGTTTAAGTACTTGCTGTGGGTGACTATCCAGAAAGATACAAATGATAAATGCTGAGTGAATACAGGCTGGAAGCAACGATGGAATCGCATGAATCACAGTGATGCAGGAGGCGAATATCGTCTAGGGACGGGTACTGAGCTCTAATTAAACTGTACATGAATAAGGAATATTAAACGGCCAGGGACACTGCATATTTTCCCTAAAAGTTAACAATCACATTTCTCTGGCTGTTTTTGAACCTAACGGCAACTTCACTGACAAAGCTGTTATAAATCACTGCTATTCTCATGAGGGAACCAAAGAAAACCTAAATTTATTACCTCAATATTAAAAACTAAGTTTATTACGATGCAGTTAAGGACCTAAATTGTACATTGGAGCTGTGTAACATGTAGGTACCGTCTTATCTTGTTTTTCAATGACCTGTTCTCTGAAAAGTGATCATCCATTCTCAGAGACCTGAGCTTCTTAGCCAAACAGAAATGGGTATGTGCGTTTCTCACAGAAAGATACGGGGAAACATCTGGAAGCTGCAGAGCGCGCCGTTACCCAGCACCGACGAGGCTTCAGTGTTGAAGAAAAAAACTGTTATTACAATAAAAGGTTGTGCTGCATAAAAAGGAACTCTGTCATGTTCAAGGTTGAGGCACTTTGAAAGCAGCGAGCATGTACTACAGATGGTAAAACACACACACACCCACACCATCAGTCCTTTCATCTGTCCTGAACGGAGATGAAGACTCAATGTTTTGTTTTTTTTATTGTTCAGCCAGAGTCCATACTAAACAGTTCGATGCCATGCGGGTTCCAATAGAGGCCGACTCCCGAGTTGAAGACCAGCGACCAAACGTAGGGGATGAAGAAGTCCTCCGGCTGGTCTTCCTCCACGTACTTAAACTTCAGCTCCGGAAACTTCTGTTCACACAAACAAAACAGAAAGAAAATGTATGAAATCGCATGTAACTTCAAGTGTTCAAACTTTTGTCAGATGCCGGACACTGTGGCAGCCCAACAACAGCAGGAACATTAAATCCAATCACCCTCACTTTTACTCTTATTAGAGTGCTGTGCATGTTCTGGAAATATCTGCATTAAAGTGGTTGCTGCTCTGTTTTGTCATGAGGAAGAAAGATCTTAATTCTTCATTCCACCCATGTTTTGACCCTTAACTAATGTAGTGTAAGGAAAAAAAAAAAAAAAAAGACAGCATCGCTTGAAGCTGGTTGACATGGCGATGAACTCTACATTGGTAAAAATGTTGAAGTTAACAGAACTTTCTCAAGGTAACAAAAATAACATTTTATGCTTAGAGACAGTGAAAGATGATTCATACCAGGGTTTCTTTTTGATTGACATTAATCTCTCTCCACTGAATCATCAGCACAACAGATTCAGTTGTTTTGAAATGTGTAAAAAAGTCAAAGGTACAATTTGAAGTAGCTTCTGTAATCAGCTTCATAACATATGTTGCCTTTTCTATTTTTCTATCATTGTGTCAACACTAGAAATGGCAATTTTTTTTACTTTCAAGAAATCTCTCAGCCAAGTCGCTAATTTAATTAAAAGAGGTTGCCATTTTCTTTCGTATATTTATCCATTTTATGTAAGATCAGAAGCAAAGGATGCAAGAGTCCTGCTGATGGACGGATTAAATGATCTGGTCAGAGCAAACTGGTGTACATCAATGTTAAATGAAGCACAAGATGGTTCATCAAAGCATTTCTGAAGAGTTTAAATCAAGAATTAGATTATGAGGGACATTCATGTTGTTTTACTGGATGTAAAACAACCGTGTACAAAGTTTGGTCTGCAGTTGCTTCCCACTTTGAAAAGCACACAACGTCTGGTTGCTTAGATACTTGGGCACATTGCGAGTTTTACAGGATGCAGTTGAAATGAAAAAAAGGCATCTGTAACAATGTCACAAGGAACTCAGGAACAAAATTTATCCCTAAAGGAAATTAAATGCCCTAACTTTAGGGGTTTTCTGAAGAGCATGCTCAGGGTTCTTCATAATGTCCACCATTTTATGAAGAATTCTGATTTGTAAAATCTTCTTCAGAGGTTCTAGAGGAGTTCCCAGAACATTAAGTGCTACAAGTGCTGTAACCCCAACAGATCAGAATCAGATGATGGCAGAAGAGATCTCAATCTCCATAGCACACTTACAGAAGATATCCAGCATCTTGCTGCAAACACTGGAGGTGTTCGCAGGATTCCTGCTGAAGGACAGTCTGCTCTGTCAGTTCTTGTTGACAGATACTTAGTTGTATCTCTAGTCCAGTCTGGTTTTTAGGTTAAAATCAAGGTATTCGTCCACCATCTCAACTTCTATACACATGATGGTAATTGCATTGAACTTAATCATTTACTTGTTTTGTTCACATTCAGAATCATGATTGTTTCCAAACTATGCCACAAATACCAATTTCTCACTCACAATCAGCTTTTAGTGGCTGTGGGAGCAGCTCACTGACCCAAGTCGACCAGAGAACTCGGCAAGTGGCCTGGGTTTAAATCACCTTATTACGGCTTGGTTCCGATCGGAATACAGAACCCTCTTTTTCATTGAAATTAGCAGGTTAGAGTGGATTTTTCAAACACATGTCGACCTGCTAACAATCAGAATTTTGGTTCCATTCCCCATTTTCATAAAAAGTTGGGTCTAACCCCTCGCTGGCAGGCTGCTTGGCCTCTGTCCCCCCAATTGATGATGTCACCAGTGCGACAGAAATCAGGAAAGTAAAGAATGAAAGCAACACAGATGGAAGTCAGTGCATAGTCCAGTGCATAGTCAGTGTGCTTTATTGTTTTGTTCTTTTATCCCTCCGAATACCACTCGCCGGTGCTGTGCCATGTTTATCGAATGTAAGCAGAGTCGTTTTGGCTTGTTCAATCAGCCAAGACTGGTGCAATGTTGTAACACCCATACTTTGTGCTCAGTGTTATCACGTAAATTAGAGGGTTGACTCGGTTGTATGTTCCCACTGTATGCCGATAGGAGCCTAGCTGTTTGAATGAGATTTTAACCCGAGTGGCTTGCCGAGTCATTTGACATAGGTCAACACGTGTCAGTGAGCTGCTACCACTTCCACTAAAAGCTGATTAGTTGTGGGTTTCAGCTGGTTTTTCGACCAGTGGGAAAGGGGTAAGTTGTAACAATTTACATTAGATCAACTGAGAGCAAAAAATGTACGTCACAACACTGAGCCATTTGTGTCTGATCTAACAAGCCAAAAAAAAACTCGATTACATTCGATAAACATGGCACAGCACTGGTGAGATCAAAATCGACTACGCCCTGACATCCTTCCATGTTTCTCTCCATTACCTTCCTGATTCCTGACATCAATGCTAACCCAGCGGGATGGTGTCACCAGACATGTAGCGGCGTGGTAAGAGGGGCTATGAAGCTTGCAAGCGTGGGTTCGCTTTTTTGACAATGGAAAGGGAGCCAAATGCCGATTGTTAGCAGGTTAACCCGTGCTAGAAAAACCTGTTTTAATCCTCATATCAGTGGGAAAGAGGCTAAAGTGATTCACCAACTCCCTGTTCTCAGTTTATCTGTACTGAACGAAATTTTATATACTCTCTATGTGTACAAAATGACAAAGTCTGTCTAAGTCTAACATTCCACAGCTAAATGTTTAATGTTCTGTTCTTTGCCAGTCAAAGGGAGTTCTTTCCTACATAATTAATAGTATTTGCTTAATTCTGCAAAAGAAAACTGTAACCAAAGATGTAAAAAACTTAAAGTAATCATGATCACAATAAAGCAGTGGCTCCATACAATATTCTGTTTTCTGAAAAAAAGTGTAAGATCTTTTCATATGAAATGCTGAATGATCTTTTCCTCACTCAGAAGGATAGCCCACCGAGCAGACCAAACCAAGCATCTGCCAGCCCACCTAACAGCAGGTAGGCAGCAGAAGCAGAGAGCATCAATAATACAAGGGCACCTCATTATATCCTGTCTAAACATGCATGTATGAGCACGCACGCAGTCCAGTAATCAGTCTGCGCTGAAAGACAGACGCCATGGCCTTTATGTGTTGTCCTGACTGCCTCTATTCACAGCCGCGCTATCGGTATCATAATGACACAGACAGAGGGGCTCCGGGGTCACAGGCCATATGCCAGGCTAGAGAGACAAGACCACACACACCAGAACCATTGTGATGGCCAGACACAATGAGGAAGCTGTACTACCCTGATGGTATTTCTATGCAGGTGACTCGTCTCAGTCTACCAACTCATCAAATGTTCATATGACACTGATGGTGACAATAAGTCAACCCCAGCTTCAATTTACCAAGAATTAAAAAAAGAAAAACTTCTCCCAACTTTTTCTTATAATTAGAAATGTTTTATACATATTGACTTTTATATCACCATATATACAGAGACAGAAGATTGCTGAGGAGATTAATGTGATTATAATTGCGTGTAGATATTGTAAAGCTACTGTGCTAATAAAAGATCATTAAAGCATTAATTAGGAAACCTGGCTATGTCAACACACTGTCAGAATGTGTGGTATTAATTAAAGTGACAGATTTAATTCACCCAGGGAAACATGCAACTATATCTTGCAATGTACGATAAAATAGTCTAACCTGGCAGGCAAGATGATGATGAGTAGCTCTCATGTATAGGTTAGTTTGAGTTCGATCAGTAGGATGTTATGAAGCATACCTGACATTAGTTTAAAACTACTTTCTATTCCCCACCTGTTGGAATAAAGGGTTGTTTGGGTGTAAAAGTTAAGTTATAACAAGCTTTTTATGCCCTACTCTTAGTTGGGGCATAATTCAGTCAATTTAACACAATGTCTATAGAAAATAGTAATATTTCTAGAGTTCATTTCACAGATTTGTTAAATTTACCTTTGTGGTTTTGACAAAATTTCGGTACAGTAGGCTGATAAGTTCACTATCAAAATGCTTGTCAAATTAAAATGGTTTATTCAATTATTATTTAGAATAAAACAAGATACGTTCTTCTGCTGTACAGGAATTCAAATTTAAGCCAATTAGATGTTAAAGTCCATTCACAGCAAGTGCAGATGTTACTCTGTAAGTGTACTAAGACAAGGTGAAAATTTTTTACTCAACCAATAATACTTCTTTCTAGGTTTATATAGTAACATCAACAAAACAAAAAAGATGAAAAGCTGCTAAATCTGGTCTTTTTTAATGCAGATAAGATTATAAATGCTTAGGCACCGAAGTGGTGATGGGTGTAAGATGATGCTGTTCTCTTCTGTAAAAACAAAACCCAACTTTTCCAGTAATAACGGAGAATAGATTATTGATCATGTCTGGACCTTAGGTGAATGTTTTTTTAAACTCTTGGAATTTTGTTCCGTAGAAGTTCAAAAAATATCCACTGGACTTGGTTTCCAAGATTTGAAGACGTTTCGCCACCTCTCCAGGAAGCTTTCTCAATTCCTGGAGAGGTGGCGAAACGTCTTCAAATCTTGGAAACCAAGTCCAGTGGAGTTTTTTTGAACTTTTAAGGAATGACTATGACCTGGATGACTGAGAATCTTCATCAGCATCTTGGAATTTTGGTTTGTTGAAGCTGCTCCATCAATCTATCAGATATTTATTCACATTAATTAATTACAATGCAAATTAGGCGCTAATAATGTCAATGCTCGTATCGTCTGTCTGAAATAAGCCTCACATCCCAACATGCCCAAGAAATGAAGATATTCTGTTGACCATAAATCAAGAGAGACCAGGGCTCTGAAGAATACTATTAAAACCCCAAAACAAAATACTTTTATTTTTGCCTCAGTCCAGGATTCTTTGTTAAATAATGCATGTATTGTTGCCCCCTTCTCAGCAGTTATGTCTTCAAATAAAGGCATAGATCCCATATCAAAGCTAATAAATGCAGTTTGTTCATTG